CTCGCTTTTGTGCCTGTGCCTGTTTGCGCGTGCATGCATGCGCGTGTGTGTCTCAATAAGCTGAGTGGTGTGCGGGCTGGGGCGGAGTGGGGCGGGAGCGGGAGCGAGGGCCCGCCGGCGGCAGCGCCCGGCTTGGCTCGCGCGGCCCCGCGCTCACGGCCTCTGTGCTGCCGCACTGCCATCCCCTCCCCCTACCCGTGTGGCGCAGAGGTGATGTGGACCCAGGAGGAGCCGATGAATATGGGCGCCTACCTGCACGTGCAGCCGCGCTTCCAGCGGTGCATGGAGGTGCGCGGCGCGGCCCGCCCGTGGACAGGCAGCCAGCTGCTGCGGCAGGCAGCATGGCAGGCAGCTGGCCGCGATTCGAGGGAGATGCACGTAGCGGGCATGGTCCCTTGCCCGCGTCTGCACGCACCCCGTCCTGCTGTCCTCCCCGCCCCTGCCAGCTGTCCCAGCAGGCTGCTCACCCTGCTGTCCCGCCCGCCCACCCTGCCGCTGCCGCTCCTGCCCCACCTACCGCAGGCCATGGGGCGTGAGGTGCCCATGGCTGTCAAGTACAGCGGCCGCCCCTCCATGGCCTCCACTGCCACCGGCTTTGGCGAGGTCCACGCGCAAGAGCAGGTGGGGAGGGGGCGCTGGGGGGCGGCTGGCTTGTGTGGGGTGCTGTGGGGTTCGTGTGGTGCTGGGTGGTGGTCTTGTGTGATGTGATTAGGGGGGTGAGGGAGGGTGCCGCAGCGCGCTGCGGGCTCTGGGGAGGCGCACTGGGCTGGGCCTGCTGCCTGCGCATGCTGCGACTCGGGAGGTTGCATGGGGCGTTGACTATTTGCTGCGCTGTGTGCCTGCTCCTCTCCCCGTGCCCTCCTCCGCCCGCAGGCTGACCTCATCAACAAGGCTCTTGACCTCTCCTACTGACCGAGCAGCCCTCGGCCACCCATGGATGCATCCCATGCGTGCGTGCCTGCCTCACTTGCACTGCCGGAGAAGGCAGTGCGACCTAGTGGAGGCGCCCCACGCCTCCGCTGCCCCCGCCGCTCGCATGGCTTGACAGCCGTCAGCGGCGTGCACGCCACCGGCGTGCGCGGCGTGCTCCGCGCCGCCAATGCATGATGCACATGCACACGTCCCATGTATACACTTTCCGTCAGACTGCGCTCCCCTGCCCCACGTTTGCCCTCGCTCCACGTTGTCTGCTGTCCTACCAGCCTTTTGCGCAGCAGCTGACTGTGTTCCTTGCTGCTTCTGGTTCACATTGCGTCACGGTGCAATATCTTTCAGACCACTACGGGGGAACATAGCTGGTTCATAATGGATTGGGAGAAGGGTTGGGTCAACCAATTCAGAGGGAAGCGTGGACGGGCAGAATGCTGGCAGGACAATACACAGACACAAGGGGGACACACGGACACAGCCGGGGCTGACACAGGACAGAAATACACAGGCACTGTTGGCGCCAGTACATTAGTGGTCATGCTGCTGGGTGGTACCGCTACGGCTGCTTTGGGCTGCTTAATGAGCTACCACGCCACAAACACAAACATCTTGCACTGCTGCTGCTCTGCGGGTCAAGGCAAGCCGCGGCATGGGACACAGCCGCCTGGCAAAACACTCCGCAAAACACTCCGCTATGCCGCTACTGCACGTATTCAGGCTATGCTGCTAGTACTGCTGGGTGGATTTAGGAGGCATCAGCGCTGGCCACGGAGCCGAGGCTGGCGCTGGAGGTGGAGCCTGAGGAGAAGGAGCCGGAGGAGTCGCCACTCTCAAACACGGCGGCGGCGCCCATGCCCGAGCCGGTGCACATGGACACCATGCCGTACCTGGCGCCCTGCGGGCAGGGCGGTGCGGCGGGCTGGGGCGGTGTGGGCTCCCGGGAAGAGAGCTTCAGTGGGGCTCGACACACGGTCAGCCCAGTGCATGTGGGTTTGAATATGAAAAGCCCTGGCAGCTGAGCAGGCATGTGGCTACCCGCTCTGCCACCGACATATCTATCCAGTGCACCGCCGCCCCACCTTGCCATTGCCGCCGGCGCCGTTGCTGTTGCGCCTAGCCATCTCGTGGAGCAGGGTGACGGTCTGGCGGGCGCCGGTGGCGCCGGCGGGGTGCCCCAGAGCGATGGCTCCACCGTTGGGGTTCACCTTCTCCTCATCCAGGCCCAGCTCCTTGAGGCAGTAGGCAAACTGCGGTTGGGTTGGGCAGAGGCAGGAGACATTTCAGCTCTGCTGCAGCTGGGTAACCCCCTGCTGGCACCGGATCAGCTGCCAGCCAATCGAGGGATGCACTGCTGGGCACGACTGTCGACCAGGCAGCCTCCCAATCCCTCCTCCTTCTGCCCCCGCCAAGGCCGGCCGCCCCACCTGCGATGCGAAGGCCTCGTTGAGCTCAAACATGTCGATGTCATCCTTGGACAGGCCCGCCTTGTGCAGGGCAGCGGGGATGGCCTTGGTGGGCGCGGTGCCCATGATGCCGGGTGGCACTCCCACCGTGGCAAAGGAGCGGAGGGTGGCCATGACGGGCAGGCCGCGGCGCTGCGCCTCGCGCCGCGTCATCAGCATTACCGCCGCCGCGCAGTCGGTGTTCTGGAGGTGGGGGTGGGCGGGGTGGGGCAAGAGGGAGGAAGGGAGGCGCTCTTGAGCAGACGTAAGCTAGCTAAAAGAGGTGCTGTGAGATTGAGATTCCGATGCGAGGAGGGTCGGTTGGCAGCGCAGGGAGCAGGGCATCCGGCATGCGTTTAAAAAGTGGGTCGCCGGGCTAGCTCGGTTGCTTGCCAGCAGCAGGCCAGGCCCCGTCCCACCTGGCACGCGTTGCCCACGGTGACGGTGCCGCCCTTCTTGAAGTACGGCTTCAGCTGCGCCAGCTTGTCTGCGGTACTGTCGGGACGGATGCCATCGTCTGAGTCCACAGATACGCGGCGGGCCTCGCCTGCGGGGGAAGGGGAGGCAGGAGGGGGCTGGGCTTGCTGGCTGGGCCTGGGGTGGGGCTTGGGAGCTCAAGATGTGGGCGCCAGCCGGCTGGGGTGGGGAGATGAGCGGGCAAGTCCCGAACACCGCCTGCGCCTGTGCGGTCGGCACCTTTCACTTGCCAGCCAGGCACCTGGCCCACCAAAAGCCTGCCCAACAACAAATCGTAAAATATTTACCCGAGGCGTCCTGCACCGTCGTCTCCACCGGCACAATCTCATCCTTGAATCTGCCGGCAGCCTGCGCGGCGGCGGCCTTGGCGTGCGAGGAGGCGGCCAGGCGGTCCTGCAGGTCCCGAGGCACGCTGAACCGCTCCGCCACGTTCTCGGCTGTCAGGCCTGCAGGGCGGTCACAGTGGCCAGAAGAGGCGCTGGGTGCACGGGCGCGATGCCAACGCCTTGGCCCCCTGTGCCCCGCCAGCAGGTAAGAAGCCTGGCGGTGGTACCGCATGCATCAGCCCTCCACTCGGCTCACCCAGCGGCAGCTTCACGTCCTGCGCATCCTGGCTCTCCTGCACGCGAGGGTTGTCGCTGCCCTGCCAGTCCAGAGGGTCCCGCGTCAGGGTCTCCACCCCGCCTGCAGGCAGTGTGGGCAGGGCGCAGCAGCAGGCTGGCACAGCGAGCTTGCTGGCTGGCCAAAGAACATCTGCACGTGGCATGGCAGCCTGGCTCGCTTTGGCCAGTAGGGTTTGAACGTGCAAGGCACAGGCACTGCCACCGCCCCGCCCACCCGCGATGCCGATACTGTAGAAGCCCGCCCGAATGTCTGCCGCCACATTGGCAATGGCCTGCAGCCCTGCAGCGCACTGCCTGCACACACACGGAAAGGCAGCCCGGCTGGTACATCCGCCGCTGACCGGCCTGCTCCCTGGCGCCGCTGAGGTGTGGCGGCATTGCAACTGGGTGGGCAGCGCTTCCCGGCGGCTGCCCCCCGCGGCCAGCCCACCTGTTGACGGTGTAGGCGGGGACAGAGGGCGGAAAGCCGGCCAGCAGCAGCGCGGTGCGCACCTCGTTGGCGCGCTTTGAGGAGGCTGGGAAGACGCTTCCCAGGCAGACGTCATTCACCTCCTGCGGGCCAGGGCAGGAGGCCAGGGTGCTGGCTGAGGGCGCAGACAGATGGCAGGGCTGGCATGACCGCGGCCACGGCTGCGCTGCTCGGCGCGAGCGCTTTGAAAACGGCCGGTGGCGGCTCCGCGCGCCTCTGGCTTGATGCCCGTGCGGCGCAGGATGTCCCGCAGCACCGCCATCACCAAGCTGTCAGCGGTGGCGTCCTTGAAGCCGCCCTTGCGGGCGCGGGTGGAGGCGGTGCGGCAGGCCCCCACCACCACCACGTCATTGGGGCTGTCCTGGGGGCCAACGGCTGGGGGCGGGGCGGTCTCGGCGGCCACAGCCTGCAGGCCAGGCCGGGGCGCTTGTCAGCGTGGAGAGCGAGGTGCTGGAATTGAGGTTTTGGTGGGGATGATGGCGAGGCAGGCCGCATGTGACAGAGCCTCCGCCCACCTGTGCCGCCACCGCGCGGCGAGCGCTGACGGTGGCTGCCACATCAGCGGGATGCGGCGTCTCCCCCAGGATCCCTCTCTGCGGGCGGCGCTGGCGGCTGCCGCCGCAGAGCAGTAGCGCTGAGCCTCTGTTCAGGCTGGGGCGATCCGGGGCGTAGGGGAGGCCGCACAGCCGGCCACGATGGGCAGCAGACGCGAGCATGGTGCCCCTTGGAGGCTTGGCGGGTGCGTGGCAGATGCAGATTGGATTATGGTCACAGGGTTTGAGGGGTTTGAGGGGCTGGGGAGGGCAGGAGGCAGCAAATCTGTGGGCTGGGTGGAAAGTCTGGACACGTAACGATCCGGCGGCGGCGGCCCCCCCTCAAAACCGAAGAAACCCAATATCTTTCATCCATCAACGACCTCACAAATGCTTTGCCCAAGCTGCACCATCACCAGGACAACACCGGCGGCTGCCTCCAGCGCGGCGCGCCCAGGCTGCACCAGGGTGAGCAGGCTGTCCTTCCAAGGCTGGCCCCTGGCCATCCACGGTGCTGACTATTCATCAAGGCTGTTGGGAGGAGGGGGTGGAGGGAGTGGGTTGCGGACCGATGACCGTCAACATCGAGCACAGCCAGCCCTGGAGTCTCAGACCCAATGGTTGGGGTGCCTGCTGCCCTCCCTGCCGTGCTGCGCGGCAGCGGCAGGGCCGGCTGCGGCCCGTGGTTTGCGCTCCAGCGCTGTCGGCGGCCGCCGCTGTGCCCGTCACTGCCGCGTCAGGAGTATGCGATGTGTCTCGATTGATTCGCGCCGCCAATCTGCAGGCGGCCCACTCTCCCAGCTTCACCCGGAGCAGCTACGCAAGCACCCGCCGCTGCACCGCCAGCCAGCCGCCGGTCCAGCGAGCGCTCAAGGTGAGGGCAGGGCTGTCAGGACCTGCAGACCCTGCCGGCCCCTGCCTGCGCCTGCCTGCTCACCCTTCCTTCCAACAACCGCTGCCGAGTCAGATGACAAATGTGCTCCCGCCCTTTCCCGCGCATCCCCGCAGGTCACCGCCGTCGCCGCACCCGAGCAAGGCATCCGCCCGCCCGCCGCCAACGGCAGCAGCCCGCTGCACGATGTGGTGATCGTGGGCGCGGTGCGCACGCCCATGTGCAAGGCCAAGGTGGGGCGCACCCTCTGTTTTCCACCCGCGGCAGGCTCAGCGGCAGCGCACGGGTTTGCTCCCCAGCCCGGCCCTCCCTCCCACCCACCCTGCCGCACCACACCTCCTTTCTTGTGCTACCTGCCTGCCCTCTGCTCCCCTCCCACGCCTCTCCCACCCTGCCCCCTTCCCCCTCCCGCCGCAGGTGGGCTCCCTCAAGCAGGCCCTGGTGGATGAGCTGGTGCTGTCGGTGCTCAAGGAGCTGCTGAGGCGCACCGGCGTGGCCGCAGAGGTGCGCGCCCTGCATGGCGGGGCGGCATGCGCATGGGAGGGACGGTGTCCGCGTGTCGCGGCGGGCAGCCCTGCCTCGGCCTGCCTGCTTCTGGTTCTCGGCCTGGCCAGCCGTCTGATGTTGCGCATACACACGCCTGCCTCCTCTCCCTCTGCCTCTCCCCCTCCCTCTCCCTCCCCGCAGGATGTGGGCGACGTCTGCTTCGGCTCTGGGCTGGGACCCTCCTCCAAGCGTGCCAACGAGGTGCGCACCGCACTGCTGCTGGCCGGCTTCCCGCCCTCCGTCCCTGCCTACACCGTCAACAGGTGGGCTGGGGTGCCCGCTGGGCTCCTTCGCCAGCCCGGCTGATGCCCTCCTTTCAGCATGGCCTGGCCAGCTGCATCTGCCTCCGTATCATTTGCCCACCTGCCCGTCTTCATGCCACCTCTTCCTGCGACCATCTTGGCTGCGCGTGCGGTCCCCGCTGCCCGCAGGCAGTGCGCTGCCGGGCTGCAGTCCATCGCCGACATGGCTGCCTCCATCGCCGCCGGCTACTACGACATCGGCATCGCAGGTGGGCGGGTGTGGTGGGGTGGTGCTGCTGGTGTGCATGCAGGGTGGTGCCCGGCAGCCGCGGTCGCGTAGGTGCCTGGTGAGGGTGGCGATGAGAAAAGCGGTGCTGCCCTGCGCGCGCCGCAGGCGGTGTGGAGAGCATGAGCCACTCCCCCATGATGTGGGAGGGCAGCGACAACCCGCTGGTCGAGGAGAACCAGCACGCCAAGGACTGCCTGCTGCCAATGGGTGAGGCGCTGCCGGGGGGTGGGGCTCCTCGGCGCTGCCGGGGGGTGGGCTCCTCGGCGCTGCCGGGGGGGGGGGCTCCTCAGGCGCTGCCACACGGGAGAGGGTGTCTCAAGGCAGGCCTGTGCAAATCAAAGCGCAGCGCTGCCAGCGGCTCCCTGGGAGTTGGGTTGCCGCAGAGCATAGGGTGCCAGTGCGGCAGAGTACTGCCTCCCGTTGCAGGCTCGACATAACTGCCGGTGCTGCTTAACTGCCCGATGCACCTGCTCCCACGCCTTTGCACGTCCCCGCCCACCATCCTCTGTCCCTGCAGGCATCACCTCTGACAACGTGGCAGCCCGCTTTGCGGTGCCCCGAGACCTGCAGGACCGCCTGGCCGCCTCCTCGCACGCCAAGGCCGCCGCCGCGCAGGCTGCCGGCAGGTTCAAGGATGAGATCGTGGCGGTGGAGACGACGGTGAAGGAGGGAGGTGGGTGTTCCCTTGCCCTTCCCTCCCTCCCTCTGCAGCCAGCTGCATCGTCTAGGCTGCACGCCGGCGCCGGGATGAGCTTGCAGCTGAGCGCTCCTGCCGCGCCGCGCAGCTCTCTTTGTGTGGGGCTGCCCAGCTGCTGCCGGCTGCTGCTCCAGTCCCAACTCCAGCGCCCCCCTGGCCGCCCCCGCAGACGAGGAGCGGCGTGTGGTGGTGGACCGCGACGACGGCATCCGCCCCGACTTCTCCTTTGAGAAGCTGTCCAAGCTGCGCGCCTGCTTCAAGAAGGGCGGCACCACCACCGTGGGCAACGCATGCCAGGTGCCGGGCAGGTGGCCGGACCAGGCTGCTCGCCTGCGGGGCTGCGGCCCGTAGTCTGGGCCGGGGCAGGCGGTCTCAGCCTGGCTCAGTGCGCTGCTGCGTGGTAGCGCTGGTGGCGCACCGAGCTGCCTGTGCGGCACTCGCCACAGGGGCGCGTGCTGCCGTGCAGACCACTGACGGAGCGGCGGCGGTGATGCTGATGAGGCGTGGCGAGGCGGAGCGCCGCGGCCTGCCCATCCTGGCCACGCTCAAGTCGTTTGCTGCCGTGGGGGTGGAGCCTGCGGTGATGGGCATCGGCCCGGCTGTGGCCATCCCCGCCGCCCTGGAAAAGGCGGGCCTGTCCAAGGATGACATCGACGTGTTTGAGCTCAACGAGGCTTTCGCCTCGCAGGTATGGGCCAGAGAGGTCCCAGGGGGAGGGGCCTGGGAGGCTGTGTTGTGGCAGCTGTGCCCAACAATTCTGCTCATTGCAATGAAGCGCTGGCAATGGTTCCAGCAGCAGCAGTGTTGACGTGGCGCTGTCCTGCCTGCCCCTCTCCTGCCTGCCCAACCTGACCGCAGTTTGCCTACTGCCTCAAGGAGCTGGGCCTGGATGAGGAGAAGGTGAACCCCAACGGCGGCGCCATCGCTCTGGGGCACCCCATCGGCTGCACCGGCGCCCGCCAGACCGTCACCCTGCTCCACGAGATGGCCAGGCGCAACAGCAACGGCAGGGTGCGATCTGCAGGCAACGAAGAGAATGGCCAGCTCCATCCATCTGTCCATCACCTGTCCCTTTCATGCTTGCTGTGCAGGGCGCCCACTATGGCGTGGTGTCCATGTGCACCGGCTCGGGCATGGGCGCCGCAGCCGTGTTCGAGGCTGAGAACGGCAGCGCCGAGCAGGAGTGAGCGGCTGCCACTCATGGTCAAGTGTATCTAGTTTACAAGAATCCAGTCCCAGTGAACCAGCATCCGAAGAGCTGCCTCCAGCACCTCGGCCCGTCTGAGGCCCGCTCGCACTCTTGCCGAGCGGGCTCCCTCTCCCGTCCCTTGCCCTGTCCCTTGTCCTGCGTATTGCCCCTTTTCTTCACTATTGGGTGGTTGTGCCTGTTGCTGACACATTTATCCAGGACTCTCGTTGTTTTCCTGCCTGAGTAACACCTTTTAGGGTGGAGGAGAGATGCACCAGCCTGCCGAACCACACAGCGACGGAGGTGCCGCTGGTCAGCCACAGGCGCCTTGCCCTGTGGATGAGGGCCTGGCTAAATTATTCCCCGTGTTGTCACCGACTCCCATCCAATCGCAACTCTCCTCCCTCAGAGCAGTCTCTCAACCGCATGGCGGCGCACCCAGCTGGAGCGGCCGCTAGCGGCCGCTAGCGGTGACGCACCATGACGGGGCGGCAGGCCTCTCATGGCCCCCCACCCCACCTGCGTCAACGCGTGGACTTGCTTCTGCACTTGCTTCCAGCGATCTCACTGTCAACCGTAGGGCACCAGTGCAGCAGCCAGTATGTCGCAGGGTGGCGCAGCCTCGACTCCCGCTGCACAGCCGCAGGCGCAAGACGAGGCGGTTCTAGGCGAGGTGTTGGTTCAGCAGCGCACGCTGAGGCAGGGGCCGGTGGAGGTGAGTTGCGACAGCTGTGCGGGCATTGTAACGGGCTGCGCTGCGGCCCTGCACGGCAGTCAACGAGACTGTGAAGCGGGAATGCGTGTAGCGACGGTGCCCGCAGTGAACTGGCGGCCTAGTGCCCGCGCGTGGGGCGGCGGGTGCCGCACGTGCTGGCTAGACTGCCGGTTGCTCCTGCGCAGACCACTGCCCTGCTCACCTCGCTGCGCTGCAGGAGGACCCCGACCTGGCGCTGGCAAAGCTGCTGCAAGCCCAGGAGCAGGCGTGGCTGGCAATGGCGGGCCAGGGCAGCGGCATCCTGGAGAACCTGCCGCCGGCGGCGGGCGGCGGCGAGGCGGGCGCGGGGCCACACGAGGGCGGCGGCGGCGAGGAGGGGGGCGAGGTCGAGGAGCTGACGGATGAGGAGATGGCGCGGAGGCTGCAGGAGCAGGAGGAACGGGAGTTCCAGCAGCGGCTGCTGGAGCTGGCGGGGATGGGGCAGCCGGGGGCGGCGCCTGGAGGCGGCGGCGGCATCGAGGCGCCCGGCGGCGACGAGTATCTGCCTGAGGACGATGTGGACCCAGATGAGATGACGTATGAGGAGGTGTGTGCATGTGTGTGTGTGCGTGCGCGCGCTTGTGTGTGTGTGTGCACGTGTGTGTGTGTGTGTGTGCAGGTGTGTGCGCGCGTGTGTGTGTGTGCAGGGGTTGGAGATGAGTGCCGCAGCAGGGTGTGCGGCGGAAGGGCGGCAGCACAGCTGCTCTGGGTGGAGCGGTGTCCCGCGCGATGAGCCTGGGGCCCCAGGGATCTGACGTTGCACCTCTTACCTGTTTGCCTGCCTGCCCACTCTGCCACCCGCCATACTGCAGCTGTCTGCTCTGGGCGAGGCGGTGGGCACCGTCAGCAAGGGCATCTCGCAGGCGCAGATCGACACGCTGCCGCAGCAGGCATACTATGAAGTGGCGGGGACGACGGCTGGGTCAGAGGAGCAGTGCCCCATCTGCAGGCAAGCGCAGGCAGGGGCAGGGAGGGGGCTGTCTGCTGCCCACTCAGCTGCCTTGCTCTTGCTGCTGGAGCTTCTGGGAACGGCCAGGCCGGGGCATGCTTGCTCCATGCCTGATCCTGCGTCTGCCTGGTGTGCCACCCAGGCGGGCGGTGGTCCTCGGTCCTGGCTCACACCGCTTGCCCCCTCCCACCCTCACTCGCAGGGTGGAGTATGAGCCGGAGGACAATGTCAAGGTGCTGCCGGTGTGCCGCCACTACTACCACCCAGACTGCATCGCAGAGTGGCTGAAGCGCAACAAGGTGCGTGGCGCCGGCGGGCAGGCAGCGGGGCGGCGGCGCTGGCCGAGCAGCTTTCGGCGGCATCGATGGCGTCGTCGTCAGTTGCCACTGGGTTGAGCCTTGCATGGCGTGGTGCTGCAGGTGTGCTGCATCTGTGCCAAGGAGGTGATCGAGGAGGGGAAGAAGACGGAGGCCGCCGGCAGCGGCGGCGCTGCCAGCGACGGCGTGCTGGGGGAGCGACGGCAGCAGTAGCAGCGTCGCAGCTGCGCTAATGACGGCGAGGCTGTGCTTTTTGACCCCTTTATGACTGCTGACTCCTATGTATGTTATTGACCTGTTCCACCACCTCTTTTCCCCGACTGCGGACAAGTTGCGACTTACATCCAATGCTGGCTCCCCCATTTGAGGAATGAACATCAGCCAGGCACATGTCTGGGGGCTATAGGCAGCCAGCAAGCTCAGCACCGTGGGTGCCCAGCAGGGCCCAGCAGGCATCACTGAAATTCGCGTTTGCGGCGCCTGCAGTCCCCACGCGGCTGGTGCTGGCATTGCACGCTTGTTTGGCTGAAAGCTAGCTGTCGCCAGGCTGCGCCAGGTCTGGTTGAACTCGCGGGCTGTCAGGCGGAAAGAGGCGCGGCCAGCATGGCCTCGGTCACATTCAGCCGCAAGAGCCGCAACAGGGTGCGTCGGGGAGCCCGTCGGGGCAGGGGATGTTTGTTGCCCGAGCGGAGCCATTCACCTCCTCCTCTCTCCGCCTCTGTGGTGCGCCCCAGGCGACGGTGGCAGGCAGCTCGATGAGCAAGCGCCCCTCTCCCAACCTGCCCCTCACCAGCCGCGCCGCCGCCGCTCGCCTGCAGGACAAACCAGGCGACGGCATCAGCAGCGACGCCAGCACCACCGCTTCCACTTACGTTACGGCGCCCTCGGTGCTGACGCCAGTGCCGGAGAGCCCAGGGGTGGATCAGGATGAGAATGCAGCCGATGGGGTGGCCACCAGCACGGCCAAGTCGGGCGGCGGCGGGCAGCCGGCCCCACGCTGGCGTCGCAAGAATGCCGCAGAGCGGCAGGATGCGGAGCGGCGGCAGCACCTGGCTGAGATGCGGGCGTACTTTCAAGAGGTGGGGAAGCCAGCCACAGCGCAGGGCTGCTGGGCCATGCCATGGCTGTGCTAGGCCGGCAGTAGCAGGAGTGCCAGACCCTCATGCCCTGCCCTCCTCTGGCCCCCTGCCGCTGTACAGGTGGATGCCTTTGAGCTGGCAGTTGAGACGCCGCCCGTGGCCAAGCCACGCGGCGACAGCAGCCGGCCCGCCGACGTGCAGAGCACGCCGCCGCAAGGCGGCGACCGGCAGCAGCGCGGCGTGGCGCGTGCGCTGGCCGCGGCGGCACCCACCCCAGGCACCGCCATGCGCCAGCGCGCCATGTCGCTGGGCCTGTCGCGGCGCCGCTCCTCGGCGGTGGCCTGGCCCGTGCACACCGCGCTGGCCTCCAGCAGTAAGGCGGGCAACGCGTCGCCTCTCAAGCTCAGCATGCCGCCAGGCGTCACACAGGAGGCGGCGCAGCGGCAGAGCATGCAGCCAGGCGGTGGCCGGCGCAGCACGCTGGTGCCGCCGGGGCCCCACCGCCTGTCGGTGGCAGCAGACAACGGTGCCCTGATGGGCAGCCCCGGCGGCGGCGCCGGCTGGGCAGTCAGCCGGCACTCTCTGGCCATGAGGGGGCGCCGCTCCTCGGTGGCACCCAGCAGGCTCAGCGGCACCGGCAGGATGCTGTCCCGCCTGTCGGTTGGCCTCACAGATGCGCTGCAGTGGCTGGGCATCAAGGGCAAGATCCCCACGGCGGCGGCAGACGAGGAGGCACAGGCTGCGGCTGCGGCGAGGGGCGGGGGCGGCGGCGC